CTAATCCAGCCATCTGAAGGTGAGTGACTAGCCCGAGCAGAGTACAGAGAGAGGAATGTATGGGCACCAATCTACAGTTCCACAAAGAGCAGGTTTTTCCAGGAAGGAAAGATATAGATTCCATGAGATGGAGCTGATCTGAAAGCTTCACAAAATGAATCATGCTCAAGAAGCCTCCCCAGCAAGGAGAAAGGACCCCAAGGGAGAGGGTCTGTGTAGGGTATGTTTGGAAGTCCAGGCCTGGGAGCAGCTCATAACGCAGCTGCTGGAGGACAAGCATTGTGTATGTGGGGCTGGGCAGCCTGGGGCAGGGAGCCTCTGAGGTCTCAGCAGGACACTCTCCAAAAAACCCACAAAGCACTTCATAGGAGCCAGCATCCGGGAGAGCAAAGTACACTGCAGTGCTCTGGCCATATAAAACAGTGCCATTCCCCTAGTGCCCTGTGCCTTGGCCTGAATCTAAGGGCTTACACAAGCCCCAGCCAGCGAGCATAAGGAGTAGCTGGGAACTGATGAAGAAGCTGACCAGGAACATCACTGCCTCCTCTGTGGGCTTCCCCGCCTAGGGCAGGCCCCCACTGGGATGGGAAGCTATATATTGGACAAGAGTTTGAGGTTGGGATGGTTACCTTGGACCAGGCTTAAGTTATGTGATTATTAGGCTAGAGTAGATTTTTTTAATGCCCAAACGAAGGGACTATTTATCATCTAAGCGTGACTGGAAAAGCCATGGGATCTGCCAGTATTTTATCTGTGAAGGGAAGGAAAGAGAAGGGAAGGGAAAGATTTTTTTTTATTTTTTATTAAAATGCAATACACATACAGAAAGTACATTTATCATAAGTATACAGCTTGACAAATTTTTGCAAATTGAACACATCCATGTAACCAGCACCCAGATTAAGCTATAACCCCCCAGAAAACCCCTTTGGGCTCCCTCTGAGTCACTACTTCTCCCTCAGATAACTACTATCCTTACTTCTAAGAGCACAGATGAGTTTTGGCTTTTTGTATCTTATATAAATAGAATCATACACTATGAGCACACTATGATTCCTTTGTGTCTTTTTTTGCTCAACATTCTGTTTATAAGATTCATCCATATTGTCATAGATTTTATTTATTTATTTGAGATAGAGAGTGAGAGAGAGAGCATGAGCAGGGGACAGAGGGAGGGAGAGAGAGAAGTAGGCTCCCAACTAAGCAGGGAGCCCAACGTGGGGCTTAGTCTCGGACCTGGAGATCATGACCTGAGTCAAAGACAGACGCTTAACCGACTGAGCCACCCAGGTGCCCCTTCATAGATCTTTTTTTTTTTTTCATTGCTGTATAGTATCCCTTTGTATGACTACACCATATTTTATTTATCTATACTTCCACAGATGGGCATTTGAATAGTGCTGTTATATATGTTCTAGTAAATGTCTTTATTTCTGAATATATACCCAGAAGAGGGAATTGCTGGTTTATAGACTATGCACACATTCAGCTTGAGTAGATATTGCAGAAATGGTTGTATCAATTTTCACTCCCACCAGCAGTGTATGTGAGTTCTGTTGCTTCACCACCTCACCTGATACTTTCCTACTTTTTCATTTTATTCATTCAGATGGGAGCAATGGTATCTCACATTGGTTTTAATTTGCTTTCTCTTGAAGACCAATAAAGTCAAACATTTTTTAATGTTTATTAGCCATTTCTCTACCTTTCTTTGTGAGATGACCAAGTTTTTGCCCCTTTTTTGTAAATGGATTATCTCTCTTTTTCTTATTACTTTGTAGGAGTTCATTATATATGTTTGATATGAAATCTTTGTCAGATATAGGTATTGAGAATATCTTCTTTCAATCTAGGTTGCCATCTTACTGTCTGAAAATATTTTGATGAACAGGTGTCATTAATTTTAACATAGTCCAATGTATAATTTTGAGTATGGATTCAAATAAAAATTTTTTCTCATGGATATATCCAATTCACCAACACTATTTATGGAAATAACTATCTTTCCTCTATATTGTGTTGTATTTGTTATAAACTAGATTCCACATATGTATGGGTGTGTTTCTGGACTTTATTCTGTTGTACTGGTCATTTATCCATCTTTGCACCAATATCATACTGCCTTAATTATTTACTATGGTTTTCTAAAACATAGTGATATCTAGTAATGGAATTATCTTTTAAGAGTTCCTTAGGGGGCCCTTGGGTGGCTCAGTTGGTTAAGCGTCTGCCTTCGGCTCAGGTCCCAGGGTCTGGGGTAGAGCCCTATGTCAGGCTCTCTGCTCAGTGGGGAGTCTGCTTCTCCCTCTGCCTGCCACTCCCCCTGCTTATGCACTCTCTCTCTGTCAAATAAATAAATAAAATCTTAAAAAAAAAAAAGAATTCCTTAGAAGTTTTGAATTCTTGGCGCACCTGGGTGGCTCAGTCGGTTAAGCATCTGCCTTTGGCTCAGGTCATGATCCTGGGGTCCTGGGATCGAGCCATGCATTGGGCTCCCTGCTCAGTGGGGAGACTGCTTCTCCCTCTGCCCTTCACCCCGCTCATGCTCTCTCACCCCGCTCATGCTCTCTGGCTCTCGTTCTCTCAAATAAATAAAACCTTTAAAAAAAAAAAGTTCTGAATTCTTTGTATTTCCATATGAAATTTAAATCATTGGGTGTCTGGGTGGCTCAGTCGATTAAGCATCTGCCTTTGGCTCAGGTCATGATCCCAGAATCCTGGGATCAGTCCCTGTGTCAGGCTCCCTGATCAGTGGGCAGTCTGCTTCTCCCTCTGCCCCTCATCCTGCTAATGCTCTCTCTCTCAAATATATAAAGAAAATCTTAAAAAAAAAGGAAATTTAAATTACCTTCATAATTTTATGTCAATTACACCTCAATAAAGCTGAAATTAAAACAAACAAACAAGTAAAATCAGTTCATAATTTCTGACCAAAAAACTGGCTGGAATTTTGATTGAAACTGTTTTGGATTTATATATAAGCTTTTGGGGAATTTTATGTCTTTAAAATATTTAGTTTTCTAATTCATAACCATGGTATATTACTTTATTTAGTTCTTATTTACTCTGAGTTATGTTTTCTAGCTTTCAGTATAGGGCTCTTCACAATTTTTGCTATATATATACTCTTATGTAGTTCCTGTTTTTATTCTACTGTGATATTGGTTTTATTTTTTTTTTAAAGATTTTATTTATTTATTTGACACAGAGAGAGATAGTGAGAGCAGGAACACAAGCAGGGGGAGTAGGAGAGGGAGAAGCAAGCTCCCCGCTGAGCAGGGAGCCTGATGCGGGGCTTGATCCCAGGTCCCTGGGATCATGACATGAGCCGAAGGCAGATCCTCAACGACTGAGCCACCCAGGCACCCCTGTGATATTGTTTTTTAACTTTTCATTTTTCTCTTTTTTGTTGTATATGAAAATATAATTTATTGTATATAGCTTTTGTGAAGAATAATTTTTTGAAGAACTTTAATGTGCTAGGTACTCAATATGATATTTTTATTTATATTGTCTCTTTAATCTTCACCACAATCTTGCAGGTATATTTCATCTTCATTTGTTAGAGAACACTGAGGTTCAGAATAAGGTAGAAATTTTCCCAAAGTCACACAAAAAGTATTCGAATTGCTTTTGAAGAATAGATCAATTTTCCTATTTGAAGACATGTCATGGAAAAGGCCACCCAGGCATAGAAACTGTCGTTAACAAAGCAAAAAAGGCAGGAAAGTAAAGGGAAGGGAAGAAGGAATGGGAAAAAGGAAAGGGAAGGAAAGGTGAGATGTTCCTTCTGATTAGCATCTATAGGTTATGGTACATTGAAAAATAAAGTCAGAAAGGTAAATTGAAGACCAGAGTGTAGAGTTTCCTAAGTAAATATGAAGTTTTCACCTTCACTTGTTAGCCTCTAGCCTTGTGGGATCTGGAAAATCTGGAACAGAAAACTTGCAGTAGGATTGAGACTCATCAAGTCTACAATTTTATCTCTCTAGCAATGTGAAACCCCCCAAACCTCTTCTGTTTTTCTGACCCTAGCAGTCACTTCTCACTGGGCAAAGTCTGGTTTGTTACCCTCTTGCCTGCCAGAAATTTGGCAAAAACTCCTAAAGAGAAAGCATCTGCAAACCCTCAGCTCAGATCTCATGGTTTTCTGTCTTTGGCATCTTAATCCATCTAGTCTTCATGGTTTCTACAGTTCTCTGAGCCTTGACATAGATGGCTTTTGTAGTTTACTGGGTTTCCTAGTTGTCCTTGACAGGAGATTTGACCTACCTTATATCTCTCCATTCTACCCAGGAGTGGAAGTCAAACTTTGCTCTTTGTGTTTCTATTGAGAGGTTTTTGGGTTTTTGTTTTTGTTTTTTTTTTTAATAATTACTCATAGAGATATAATATATGTTCAATAAATACGAAGATCTTAAGTGTAGAGTTAGTGTAAGTTGTTTTGTTGTTGTGTTTGCTTCCAACTGTGTTAATCTCTTTTTATTCTTTTGGTAATTTCTTCCAGAGTTAACTACTTCCGCTTGTGATTGTCAGTGATGAAATACGTAAGGAATCCACTTCAAATGTTGGCACAGCTATGAGCATGGCCTTTCCCTTTACTTGAACTCAGAATGAAGATATTTGGATCTTGTATTTTAGGTTCCAGTCCCAGAAGTAGTTTTCACCATAGAAGTTATCTGCAGTCTTCTGCTTTCTAGCAGTAGTCCACAACCAAGTTCTTGCTTCTCCAGGACTCAACACAGGATGGATTTAAATATGTATTAAACAAAGAGCATTCTCTCAAATGAGTTGAAATGCATTTTATTTTTAGACAACCTATACGACATGATTTTTTTTTTCTTAAAAACAATGCCTCCACTCCAAGTAAATCAAGGTCAAAATTAATGAAGAGCTCAAGATGACAGGAGTCGTGTGGTCTTGGTCCTGGTATTGCATGGGTGAAGAGCAGCAGCCGGTTATGGCAACAGGTAATACATCCAAAGTCATAGCCAAGTTCGTTAACAGTTTTCGATTTCTAAACCATCCTTAAAGAAAATCATATATGGGGTCCCACCACCCTCATGGTAGTCCGGCAGAGCAACCATCTGGAATCCAATTCCATCTGGATTCATGTTTTCACCAATAAAGAACACGTAGTTTTTGAAATTAGCAAAGATGTGCTTGATTTGTTCTGCAGTCCCTATCATAAAAGGTATTCTTCTTTCTGGCCTCAGTGCTTCAAGTTTGCCTTTGATTGGTTTCATGTCATCTTTGATGCACTTCTTGTAGGCTTCTTTTGTGAAGCTGGTTTCCTGCAAGTGATGGTTTGTGACAATATCAACATCGGTGATGACTGTGCTTTCAGGCCCTTCACCCTTGGGTCCTTCAGTGGAGGCATTTCCACCACTTAGTGAGTCATCAGCATTACCCTCTGTCCTACTGACCATCTTCTCCATCTCTGGGCATAACCCATTCGCCATCCTGTATCTTGGAGAACATCTCATCATTGTTAATGAGGTTCAGGTCGATATCATGATGGTGGCTGGAGAGAGGCAACGGAGGCTCTAGCTTAGCAGGACCTGGAGCTCTGAGTGAGCGCCCTGCTGCCAGAGCGGCACTCGGGGTGAGGGAGGGAGCAGGTGGAAAAGAGAGTTAGTAAGTTTTGATAAATGTATACATCTGCATAATCAACACCCCAGTCATGATGTAGACTATTTCCATTACATCAGAACATTCTTCGTGACCCTTTAGATGTAAACCTGCAGAAGGAAACATTATTCCGATTTCTATCATAACTTAGTTTTGCTTTTTCTGATTTTCAGATAAATGGAATTATACAATATGTTCAATACTGTGTCTGGCCTCTTTTACTCAGCATAATGTTTTTGAGACTCATCCATATTATTGCATTTATGAGTTCATTCATTTTTATTTCTGAGTAGAGTTTAGTATCATGAATATACCATATTGTCTATCCAATCTCCTGTTGATGGACATTCTATTTATGTTGGCTTGTGATTACTATAACTAAAGTTGCTATGGACATTCATATACAAGTTTTCTTGTGGACATACAGTCTCATTTTCCTTGGATATATACTTAAGAGCAGAATTACTGAGTCATATAGTGAGTGTTTGTTTAACTTAATAAGAAATATATGGAATCTATGGAAGTTCCATTTGCTTTATACCTGTATACATTTCCTAGGGTGGCCACAACAAATTATCACAAACTGGGTGGCTTAAAACAACTGAATTCTATTGTCTCACAGTTCTGGGGGCTAGAAGTCCAAAATAAAGATATTAGGAAGGCCAAGATCCCTCCAAAGGCTTCAGGAGAGGATCCTTTTTTCTTTTACAGCTACTGATAAACCCGGATGTTCCTTGGCTTCTATCACTCTAATCTCTGCCTCCATCTTTACATGACTTTCTCCTTGTATCTCTGTCTTCAATTGCCATCTTCTTATAAGGACACTGTTGTATTGGATTAGGGGTCCATACTGTGATTCACCACATTACCTAATTATATCTGCAATGATCCTGTTTCCAAAAAAGGTCACATTCTGAGGTAGTGAGGGTTGTCTTGAAATTGACTGTTCTTTTTTTCTACAATGTCTAATCTTTTAAAATCTATCCAGTATATTTTTCTTTTTTGATATTGTATGTTTCAGCTCTAGAATCTCAAGTTGATTATTTTAGAGTTCCCGTTTCTTTTCTGGGATTCCCTGTTTACCCATTTTGTTCATCTCTTATTTTTAGTCCTTTAACATATTTATAATAGCTGTTTTAAAGGATGATACATTATAGAGATAACATACATTTTTATATCCTCTCTCTAAAGAAAGTTGAGTTTGTACTAACAGACAGCTAAGCTATTGGCACATCAATCTTATTGAGAAATAATTGGTATACTATGTAAGTTTAAGATGTATAGCATGATAGTGTTACTTACATAAATTGTAAAATGATTATCACAATAGGTTCAGCTAACCTCCATCATCTCATATAGAAACAATATTCAAAAAAGAAAGAAGAAAAGAAAACATTTCTCCTTGCGATGAGAACTTTTAGGCTTTATTCCCTTGACAACTTTCCTATATATCATATAGCAGTGTTACCTGTAGTCATCATGTTGTACATTACATCCCTAGTACTTATTTACATTATAACTAGAAATTTGTACCTTTTGACCATCCAATTTTCCTCCACTTTTTTTTCTCCTCTCACCCGGTTTCTTTCTTTCTTTTTTTTTTTTTAAAGATTTTATTTATTTATTTGAGAGAGAGGATGAGAGAGAGAGAGGATGAGAGGGGGGAGGGTCAGAGGGAGAAGCAGACTCCCTGCCGAGCAGGGAGCCCGATGCGGGACTTGATCCTGGGACTCCAGGATCATGACCTGAGCCGAAGGCAGTCGCTTAACCAACTGAGCCACCCAGGCGCCTTCACCCCGTTTCTGATAACCACAGTTCGTATGCCTTTAATGTTAAATGGCAGCTTGTTTTAGGTTCTGTTATAGTGGATTTATTTCCATTTTGCTTTTAATTCTAGATTGGAGCCCTTAGTCCTAAGCTTACTCATAAGGTGCGGCTTTTCTGAGGTTTTAGTGAAAAGTCTAAGATATTTATCAAACTCTTCTTACTTGGCAGAATTTGAATTTCAAACTCTTTCTCCCCAGGTCCTTGCAGCTACTGAAACCTTTGCCTCCTAGCTGCTACTTTTTGCTAGGCTTCTTGGATTCTCACTCTACATTTACAGTTTTGGAGACAACTACAAGATTTGAAAGGAATTTCAATGAAGAATTTGAAGGGTAGTAGACAACTATTAATATAAAAGGTATGTTCCTCATCACTCAGGATAGGCTAAGTTGATCTGCAATGAACAACTAAAAAATCTCAGTTTTCAGTAGCTTTAAAAGGAGTGAGAGTTGTAGCTTGCCTCAAACTAACACTCCAGCTGATAACAATTACGGACAGTAGACTCTGGGCTTTATTTTAATGTTTATTTGAAAAACATACAGCTATCACACCAATCCCTTGATTTTAATCATATTATTGCTTAAGTCAAGTTAATTAAAATAAAATTTGTCAATTTAAAGAAAAATATGAAAAAAATAATAGGACAATTGATGCCTGGAAATGGACAAAATTTCTGAGGGTGATATCCAAATTACTGATGTATGACAAATAGTATAAATTATTCTCATAAGTCCAAAGCACACTTAGGTTAGGCAAAAGAATGTGTTTGAGATGGTTACTTGAATGATAACAGTTAATTAAGAAAATATGATTCTTTTCACTAAAAATTGACTATAGTGGTGTATTACTAAGGAGATACAGTTTTAGAAAAATATTGAGTACATTCATAGGTTTTGAGGAATAATAGTAAGAGTTAAAAACAGTAATAGTAATATTGTAATTTGATGCCTTAACTAATACTGCCATTAACTTTTCCACGTCTTTAGTAAAGTTGTAATATTAGACCAGATAATGACCTCTCTACTTTGAATTTCCTGTTGTCTAAAGTTTGTAGAATAAGCCAATATTATAATGTATTTTTAGATTTGCCAATGATGAGTAAAAATAATTATAATTCTTCAACAAGTTTATATAGTTTTGGCCTTGCCATGCATATTTTACTCCTTTTCAGCTCCTTTTTTCTGCTATTTCTTAAATGGCATCCCCACACTACATTGATGAAAAATGGCATAGATCCACATGCCACTATTGTTTAAATCCAAGTCCATGACAACCTGAATCTAAAATGAATGCTTGAGTCAGTGTTAATGAATCAGTACATTCATAATTGGAAAATAAGCCTCTTTCTCTCCCCCCTGACTTGCTGATACCTCTCATTAGCTGGTGGTTCTGAGAATGCCTGTGATAAGCATCTGAAGGCAAAGTTGGATGGAGAAATATTCTAATCCTATTGATAGCAGAAGAAAAGGGAGAGGAATTGGGATTCTTCCCCCTATTTATAGTATTTTAATTAAGCTAAGACTTTGTTGTGTTGTTTACAACTAGGAGAAATACTACAGGCAGCTGCATTTTATATATTGAGTGGCTATAAATAGAAGAATTAATACAGAAGAGATTAAAAGGCTTTGTGGATAATAGGTGTCTGTTACCTCCCAGCACACTATTATGCTTTTATTAAAGAAAGCCAGTCTGTATACCCACTTTTTTGAAATTGAATTTTCTAAGCTAGAAAAATTGGATCCAGAATGCTGAACCCAAGGATACATAAGAGAATGTCCCTTTTAATTCTCACTTTAAAACTCTTTAAGCACAATTCATACTTACATATTAGTTGTATGACTTTTTATTTGAAATCTTTCTTTTCCTAGATAGCTATCTCTTTTTCACTGCTATAAGCCTCTGGCATAGGACCTGACACAATAAACATCCTCAACAAATATTTGTCAAATAATCAAAAGAATAATTTTTAAAGAGATTGACTATATAAAAGTATTGTAAATACTTGTGTGATATAGCAAATAATATGTAAGGAACTAATATAAACTCAATATTATTTTTTTAATTTATTTTTTTTTAAGATTTTATTTTTTTATTCATTTGACAGAGAAAGACACAGCTAGAGAGGGAACACAAGCAGGCGGAGTGGGAGAGGGAGAAGCAGGCTTCCTGCAGAGCAGGGTGCCCTATGCGGGGCTCAATCCCAGGACCCTGGGATCATGACCTGAGCCGAAGGCAGACGCTTAACGAATGAGCCACCCAGGCACCCCATCAATATTATTTTTTTAAAAAGAGAGAGAAATGAGCAAAGAAGGTGAGGTAATTAACATGCTCAGTTTTTCTAATGAAAATGCTAATATGAAAACATTAAATAAATTTCACAGGGAATGTATAAATAAATTTTACAGAATTGTACAAGGAATTAGTGTAATACTGATTTTCCTGAATGTTCTCTTACTACAGTCTATGTGCCCAATACTGTGTCAAGTTTTGTGTGGGATGCATATATGCGGAAAACCTGAGCTCAAAGGAGCTCAAAGGAACTAATGTTCTAGAAGGAATAACTGGAAAAGCCCTCAAACCCCATTGGGTTGTGAATTTAGAAGATAGAGAGGTGTTTTTAGTAAGAACTGGATTAGAAGATGTCAGCCCCAACTTTCTAAACCAGCCTTTTTGTTGTTGTTGTTGTTGTTTTTATTTAAATTCAATGAGCCAAGGTATAGTACATCATTAGTTTTTAATGTAGTGTGCAATGATTCATTAGTAGCATATAACACCCAGTGCTCATCACATCACGTGCCAGCGTGATATCATTCTGCTCGTGTCACTTTAAAATCCTGTCATATGGGTGATCTTTAAACCACAATACCACCCAATCTCGATTCACCTTAAAATAATCAAATCACATTAAATTTTTTCAATCCCTAGCTTCTGGGAACTCTCTTAAATTTCCCCTACCATTTATTCCCTTTCTTTCTGAATTTCAACAGTTCAAGAACTTGTAACATTG